TCCCTCGGTGAGGTAGGCAAGCAAGCGGAAAAGCTGAGAACCAGCTGTCCAGGGGGGTCCATTTAAGCACAAGCCTCAGATAGCCTCAGACAGCAGCCACACAAAGCAACTACTGACCTGATCAGTGTGGACGCGCTAGTTTGAATTAGCAAAACGCTAATTCAAATTAGTTTTTGGGTCTAGATGCGCTAATTCGAATTAGCCTAGTTCGAATTAAGTTCGTTCGAATTAGCGCTGTAGTGTAGACATACCCTTATAGTCCTAGCCTCCTCTGGCAAGGAGTTCCACAGGTTGACTACACCCTGTGTGAAGAAGAACTTTCTTTTATTCGTTTTAAACCTGCTCCCCATTAATTTCATTTGGTGTCCTCTAGTTCTTCTATTCTGGGAACTAATAAATAACTTTTCTTTATCCGCCCTCTCCACACCACTCTTTGCACTGCTTCCCCCAGGCGATTCAGGATCAAGGCGAGTTAAAAAGGCAGGTCCCGCAGGCCCCAGGCACATGCAGGCCAGGGGGACAGAGGGCGGGGAGGTAGGAAGCGAGCTCCTGGCGCCCTCTGTGGTGGGCTGGCCGCCTAGCCGCCCTTCTCCCGGGGCAGGCTGTGCCAGCTCGCAAAGCCAGTTGCGGGGAGGGAGGCAGAACAAAGGACAAAGCACTAAATGCCAGGAGGGCGATCTCGGCCTGAGGGGGGCTGCAAAACCAAGCAGCCGTAGCGCATGCCACAGGCACACCCCGAGAGGTATAAGCGCCGGAGAGCGGCGCGAGGCGGGGAAATCACCCTGTGCATGGGGACCGTGTGAAGTTGTGGCAGCGGATGAAATGGGAGAGACTGTGATCGGCCCCTGTCATTGCCATAAGCCCCTTCTCCTCGTTTCTGTTGAAATGGCCCCCTGCGGTTTTCGTTGGGGGGGGGGGTGCCTCGGTTTCCCCGGCTCGACTACCATTGCCTGGGGGGTCTGCCCCCTACGCCCCATGCCTCAGTCGCTACCGCGGCTGCTGCCTGTGGCCA